CACACACACACACACACACACACACACACTGAGTGTCCCAGTAAAAGAAAGAAGAGAAGATGGAAAACTAGAGAGGAACAAAAACGCTATGTTTGTCCATCAGGGAGGGAGCAAGCTTTGCCAAAAAATACCACCTATCCATTCACCACTACCCCCGGCTATTACACACAGGGCCCAACCAGACTGCACTTTTCCCATCATGCCTTCCTGCTGTTAGAGCTCCAGACTTGCTTTGCCTTCATCCAGCCTGTGTCTGCTGGCTTGAGGTAAATGATGAGTGCTGGCAGAGATAAGGGTTTCGAGGTATGTCAGTATTGTTGAGTTAATCAGGGTCCATTGACTATCATTACACTGAATGGCGGTTATGAGGATGGCGGCGTGTGTGCACGTACGAGTGTGTGCGTGTGTTGGCGGGGAGGTGTCTCTCCTCACCCCCTCTTATTATGCTTATCACACAGACTTGTTGGGCCGTTTTTTTTTTTTTTTTTCTTACTCTGGGAACAGACTGTTGCTCTTTTTCACTTGCTCTCCTCACACCCCCTTCTCTCTTTATCCCACACTGATACCCCCCTGTCTCCCACTTTCTCTCATCAACCAACCTCCCCCTCTTCATCCCACCTCGGTCCCTGTTCTCTCCACTCATCCCCCGAGGCGACGGGAGAGCGAGGGAGAGGCAGCGAGAGACAGGACAGGCCTGCACTGTTGAAAACATTGTTTACGCCTGGCACAAAGCAGCATGTAATTTCTGCTCAAGGGGAGACACTCACAAGGGCCGGGAAGGAGGGGAGAGGAGGCAGTAGGGAGCGGAGGGAGGGAAATAGACAGGCAGGCGGGAAGTCAAGCAGAATTAAAGCCACAACAGGAGCACGATCGAATTAGCTGATGATAGAAAAGTCAACAAGCTGTGCTTCTGCCCACGTGAGGATCTAATATCAATACTGATTGAAAGAGAAGCTAAAAAAGTCACAGAACAAACCAACTTTCCGCCGTTTAATTACGCAGACCTCTCTGAACAAACTAAAAACTGGGTCGCACTGTGTCCACAGCCTCTTGCGTTTAGCAGAAATCAGTGACTTTTGGAAAGGGGCGCAAAGAAGAGCGATTTAAGAACAGTCGCCTCCTCAACAAGCATTCATCAAAAGCGTGTTAAGGCTAAATATCCACTCCTCACTGAGTTTTTTCCAATGTTTCCAACCCAACCCCTTTATTTCAACAGCAAGCTTTTATTCAGTTCTAATTTCCAGATAATTCAACAGGCAGTAGGCACAGTAGATTCTGTATCCCATTGAGCCCGAACACTAAATCTGTGGGGACATAAACAGCAGCAAATCAAAAACCACAGAAAGAAAAGCTGGAAACAGACAGATTTGTTTAGAGCACATGGTCACACTGCCCCCCCCCCCCCCCCCCCCCCCCCCCCCATCCACTTTCCTGTGCCGTCATACGGGCAGACGGTCTTTGAAGAGCATTTGAACTGACTTCAAAAGAGAAGAAAGAGATTCTTTGAGTGCCTGTGTTTAGCTACCCACCGCACTCGCCTTGCATACACACACACACAACTCTACCATACTCTGTGCCACCTCTTTCTTGTATATTCAAACACATGGGTGCATGTGTGAGCCCAGATCCTACTCCTGTTTCACCAAAGATGAAGAGTGAACATGGATGGGTTCGGATTTAGGCAAAGCCTTTTGGGGAAACAAAAGTGGGGCCCGCGATTCAAACGTTACTGTCAGTGACTCTAGGCCAGGGATTCAGCCTGCAGATACAGACATGATGATCAAAGTGGAGGGATAACCCCTGGCAACAAGCAGCTGACCTGCAATGACCGAACGTCGATGTGTTAGCACTACTTGTTCATTAGGATTTACAGACAACAACAAAAAACGCATTTTAAAAAGTCAGTAAACGACAAAAGGTCTTACATAAATAAGATAAATTAACTGGAGTGTTAGCATGGATATGTTATAACTCAGAAAAACAACTTAATTTAAAAGATAAGTTACTCTCTGAGCCCTGTCGGTCATTTGTACAGGATGTGATCTCCGTCTTGTCATGTCACTGCTTAGATCAGAGCTACTAAAAATAAAATAGCAATCAACCTCAACGAGCATAAGTTTCCAACGACAAAATTGTACCAACCACGGGTGCCGTTTGATAGCTGTAAAACTGGCTTTTTTTTGTAGCCGTGGTGTCATATCTTAGCGAGTTATTTCTCAAGAGCGCCGTCACCCAAACTGCTAAACCATTAGCTGGTACTACAAAAAAGGGTGTGAATGTTGAAAAATAGGAAGTATCTACATGTAACAACTGGTAGAATGTGGGAAAGCCAAAAAAGGTTTTTCTTTTACCATTGTGGTCAAATGTTCTTATCTTTTTTGTTAACCTTTAGCATATCTACATGAGCGCCCTCGTGTTTTTCCAGTAATGCTCCACAGTCACACACATGCTAAAAATGAACCGTGCCAGCCTGCTCGCGTGTGCGTGCACAGGCTGTGCTCTGCCCATTGTTGGGCTGTAAATAGGGGCTGACTGTGACAGGAAGTTGGGATTACAATACTCCCCATGCGTTCCATGTTTATTTTCTGCCTCTTTCGTCAGCATTGGCCGTTACACACAAAACCCAGCCAGATCTACCTCGACACACGAACCACCTGCTCGCTATTAGGTGCGTGTGTCGGATCTGCAAAGGCTGGAGGTCTGTCTTAAAAACTGCTCCTTTGACAGGTGTTTATGGAGTCAAAATGGAGATGAAATGTGTTTTGAGTGAGCTGGGCATAGTGGGTGATCTATGAAGGTGCCTCACCCTCTGTGTGTGCGTTTGTGTGTGGCTGGGGGGCATTAGCACATACATGGATGTGACTTTCTGCGTGACGTTCAGGATTTGGTCGGTGTCCGATTGGACCGATGACATGCTCCGCGGGTGCAAACAAAGTGTGCCCGTGCCTATGCGTGTGTGTGGAACTGTGTTTTTCCACACTCGCAGAAAATAAAGGTCTCATTCACTTGGGGACAAAGCACTTGTGTAAACAGAGCACGTCCAGACAGACAATGGGAGCGCACACGTATGATGAACACTAAGTCATACAGTGGTACTGTCCCAGTGTGCTCCCTCTGCACTTTCTCTTTAGCCCTAGGTGTTTCCACACAATGCTCGCAGAAGGGAGATGACCTTTGACCTGAAAACAGGCCCAGCCAGCTCAGTGAGTAACTGTGTGTACACGCAGCAGTGTTTCCCACAACACGTGGTCACTACAGTTAGGATTAAATGCACATCCGAGCGAGTTTTTTTTGTGTCAACAGTTGAGAAAACAAAAATAGAAAAAGCCGTATCACACCATCAGGCTCTTTATCAGAACCACCAGGTCCCAGAGAGGGATTCTTGTATACGCGCTGAGAGAACGAGTGACAGGTAATAAAACTGTTGCAGCTCTTTTTATGTGTTTATCTGTGATTGATTATTTCAGCCATGGGGGCCCGACACAATTAAATGAATGCTGGAAACGAAGCAACTGCAAACATGTGTGTAAGCAAGCCTGTTCAGGCAGGAGTCTGTACAATGGCGCATTTGTGTGTGTGAATGAGAGCATGTGCTGTGTTGTTAATCTTTGCCAGCTGTGCGTAGCAGTCGTCCTGACCTCTGACCACCGTGTTTGAGCCGGTGCTGGATGATGACTGGCCGACACAGGGGTCTGGAGGTCTACAGGAGCTGGGACCTCTTAGTATGATTACACTCATTAGGGCAGCACTCTGAAATGCATGATTGGCAACAGGCTTAATCGCCCTCCCCCCCCACGACAGTGTCAGGAGTATGGAGAAGGTCCAAATGATTCTTCATGACGAAACTGTGATTGACTGTTAAATGTTGTGTCCATCCTGTCATTTGTTACGTGGACCACAAGTGACAGACAGAAAACCTTTAGGACGTCCAGAGGGAGAGGCTGAGTAAGACCAGAAAATATTACGATGAATGTCACAGACTTAGAGAACAACTTAAAGCATTAATCATCTGCCGTTTTGCATCAGATTCACTCAACTGAGGTACCAAACTGACTCATGGATTATAAATAAATAACTTTTAAAAATCAAGACAGCATCGAATGTCCTAAGGTCTATCACACACACTCACACAGACACAGTGTGAGCGTAATCCTCTCAACAGGAGTGGGAATTTCACAGCAGCCGTGGGAGCGGGAGGCCAGGATGACGCATGGACCGAGGCTGTGTCCCCTCAACGGAAAGCCAGCACATACGCACATGTCCACACACAATGCAGCCGGCCTGATTAAGGGAATTTCCACCATGTGCGCGGCAGACAGGAAAGCTTAAGAACATTGGGGTAAAAATAATAAAAACAACAGCTAAGTGATAAAAAGAGCACTTCAAAACAAGCAATTCTTTTCAACTCGGTGTGCATGTGTGTGTAGGCTAATTGCCACAAGCTGACTGTGGTCTCCATTATTAGCAGACTCCAGGTTTTCTCCATATGAGGGGCACGAGGAGGCCTGCTCTCCAGCAGTCTACTCCATATGGGGACTGTTACCATGCACATGTGTGATCATGTGCCTCTCTTATAACATCATCAATCTTTAGTGCCAGTAATCGCCTTTCCACATTACTATTTATGTGCGTCTTGAGAGGATTCATTTCTTGTGTCTGTTGCAGTGACGGGGCGACGACAGTTCTGGTGTCAAATCAGGTGACAGCCTGGATGTCGACGCGTATGCTGTTGTGTTGATTGTGCTTCTCAGTCTAATTATGGAGCAGCTCAGCTCATTTACAGGCATAAAGAGAGCTGCCCTGGCTGGAGGAAGGTGGCTGAGAACACAAGTGTGAGAGAGGTGGAGGTCCTGAGCAGAAAACTTGCTGATAATCAGTCTCCGTGGCTGGCCCATCAGACAGCGCTAAGACTCACTATATATAAGCACACACTGAAGCCTAAGCTCCAAATCTGCCACAGCTCCTGAGGATGGACGTGCTATAAATACACAGCCTGACCACAAGTACCACGACTATATTCTTTGAATCCTAAATCCAGATAGTGCCTCTGAACGATTGTGTTGTTACATGTAGGCAAACATGAGAGGTCTGTGTTAATACCTGCCATCCACATGGGATCCAGTCTGCAACAGACGATATCCTAATCTCACCAGCAAATGAGCGTATGTAAGCTCTGCCAAACATATATGACAAAACCCGACGCATTTCCCTCCTTTGATGGTCAATGTAGGTTTCTTTAAAGTGCTTAGTGTAAGCTTGGCTCACTTTGTCCGCACACAACAAGCCGGGAACATGAGACACTGATGGAGATATATGGACCTTACAACCTCAATCAGCTGCTAAGACTTCCCCAGGGATGTGTGATTTCTGTGATATTCAGCTCTGACATGCTGACAAGTTGCTTTATTGCGCGGATGCTGCTGCCATGAAATTCTTTCAGAGTAACTTCTACGAGTGCTTTTCATGGGAGAAAATATTGTGAAATAATGTCCATAGAAGCTGGAAGCACACGAAGGGAATTAAAACCAGCTGCTGCAGTTAAGATGTTTTGCTTTATAAAAATTATGGATTATTGTTTTAATATTCTTAGCAGATAAGACTTCATTTGATCTATTTGTTGAAGGGAAAACACATCCAAGAGGCCAGCCAAAATACAAATGTGGATTTTCCATCGAACACTGTAAATATCAAGGCTTTTACCATACATATATTATATTGTGAACTGAACGTAAAGGATTTCACCAAACTGACCAGCTAATATGATCATAGACTTGGCAGAGACAGTGTCCACAGATAAAGCGTAAACCATAAGCATTGCCTGGCCAAAATGGCTTGTGCTGTAAGTCTATTTGAAGAATTACATCAGCTAAACTTATCCAGGACACGTCGGCGAGTTGACCTTCCGTGTACATGGACAGGACATTTTAATGTATGTTGTGTTAGGGTGAAAAGAGGACACATGAAGATTAGAAATCTGGTCTGGATTGTATACTGCTCCGTTCAGAGGTCCACCAACAGCCTACCAGTAGTTCTGTTGACATTTTTAGCTGCTACTAGATTCATCCCCTGCCTTCCTTTGACTGTTTTTAAGAGCTTATTTGATTCTATTAGTCTTTCTTTCCTCACAAAAATCCAGAAATCCATGAACCTGTAAATCCACTGATCGTTAACTTACTAAAAGACTCAGGACCACACCCTTCATGAACAAGCCAAAGAAGTTTAGCTCCTTTTGCTCAGTGGTTTCACTACAGGCAATAACTGTCTGCCTCCTGGTCGTACCCGACAATTTATCTTTAGACCAAAACCTTCCTTGGAGCTTGATAACACTTATTATTATACATATTTCTCATACTTGTAATAATTGCATTGTTTGGCCAAATGAAACCTTTCAGAACGCATCTCAGATAACTCTGAATAAATTCTGGCAACCTGTCCAGGGTCTACACATACCTCAGTGCCCTGCTAAGCTTGTCGTAGTTCATCTGGGGTTTACACTTCCTGGCCCCCCAGAGCCGGGCCACCTCGTCTGGATCCTTGATGACGAACTCGCCATAGTCCCCCTGCCACGCGATCACATCGTGATACTCCTCTTTCCTGAGCAGCTCCAGGATGAAGTGCCACAGCTGGATCTGCCTGGACCCGGGGCTGGACTCGGGCTTGTAGGCCCATTCTGGAAAGGCAAACCCTGTAACAGATGGATAAAGAGAGGGGACGATTAGCGGAAGTTACTTAAACATTGCCCTGGGGGCTGAAAGGTGGTGCAGAGAGCAGGATTTATATTAACAAATGAACTCATAAGACATCTTTATGGGGAACAGGCAACAGAGGGGCACCCAGATGATTCACTCAAAAATAAAGAAAACTATAAAACATTTAATTATAGACCTGCACTTGTAGCCACTTCAGGTGATTGCTCTGAGGGGGAGACAACGATTAAAGATGTCTGATTGAGCAGCAGCATGAAGCTTTATAATGCAAACAGCTTTCTTGCATTCTCTTCTTATTCCGGATCAGTTTATCTGGTCTTGCTCAAATCGACACAGTGAATGATAAGAAGAAGGGCAAGAAAAACAAAGAACACAGAAAAAGTGATGTCAGAAGCACAGCAACTTGCCCCGAAGTGCTGAAGACTTGAGGTTAAACCCCCCTGCTCTACTGTCATTAGGTCACCGCTAATTCACAGGAAAGGCACACGAACACTGAAACAAGAACTGAAAGTCGCACAGCACGTGGGCTTCATGGAACTATTAGATGCACGAAAAACCTTTCCACCTCTCCTCCAGCCCCTTTCCTCTCTTTTGGAGTCAGTCTTTCCTCCGAGTAGAGGAAAAGAGCACGACTAATCATCTCTCCTGTCTATCCCTCCATCTCTCTCCACCCGCTGCTCGAAGGAAATGCAAAGTTAGCGATGCAGAATGAGGCCGTAGGCGTGGGTATATGACTGTTTTCATGTGCGAGCCCAAATGTATGAGTTCGATGTGCCAGTGCGCATGTTTGGAAATGTTTATGCAAGTCTCCCACTAACATTCTGTTGCCTGGGTGGTCAATAAATCTGACACGACTGAGAAAAACAGCACAGTTGATAACAGTGTTTTGGCAAATTTAGTCTGGAGTGGATTTTATTTGATCAACACTTGGCCAAAAAACAATGACAGAAATGTAAATGACCAGAGGGAGGGACCACATAAAATAAATAGCTCCCTTTGTGCATGAGTGTCATTAGTTAACATAAGTCCTATTAATTACTGTTTATGTACCTACCAGATGCAAAGAATAAAAAAAAAAAAATCACAATACATAGGGAAGAGGAAGTGTAGGTCTGTAATACACTCTATAGAAAATGTCTATTTAGAAAACTGGAATTAATAGAAAGCGGTTTCTTCTACATCTTGTAAAAAATGAATATCTGAATGCCCTGAAGATTAATTTACCCTAACGAAACAACAAACTCAAATGTTTTTCCACACGCAACTACAAATCTTACAAACGGCAGCAGAAAAAGAACGAGTGGGTTTGAGACCCGTTGATCAGATTATGGATGTTCAGGCATGTTAATGGATTCCCTGGATGGCAGCCTGAAGCAGAGATGGATAGCCCTGATAATCACCTCTGCAGTGACCTCACCATTTAGCCAGTTTTGCATAACACTAAATAATGCTGGCAGCACACTGGTCAGACGTCTATAAATAGTTTAGAAGTGTTGCGACTGAAGATTTTCATCAGGCTGAAGGAAAGAAAAAAATATTTCCAGTCTTTAGAGGAAATAGGCTGAAAGGAAAGTTGCCGTGTCTTCCTACTCATCAAATGCAGGTTACAAGCTATTTCTTACCACCATTTGTTGGTGGTTTTCCTCCACACTTATACATTTATGAGGCATGGTCAATGAATCACTCCAGCCTACTCAGAAGTCTTTTCGCTGGAGAAAATAAAAGATTTCTGAATATCACTCAAGCTATGTGGGAGATACCCACACATTTTCCAGCTCCAAAATCCGGACAGGATTATTTCAGATCCAGACGTCAGGAGGCCAGCAGCAGCTGAGCAGGCAGCCATTTTTACCCACAGCAGAAACTTTACTGGTTCACACTGTCAAACCTCACAACACCTGAAACAACCCTGGGTGCGAAAACAGAAAGCGAGGGCAGAGCATGTCAGTCACTGCTCAGACTTTCCACCCTGGTAGATGAAGGCGGCTTCTAACATGCAAATTACATTGTCATTTTTGTTTCCTATTTCTTTTCTCGCCCTCCTCCACTTTCCTCTCCTACAAACAGTCAGATAAATTCTTGTTGTGTGATCATACGTCGAGGGAACTACAGGCTGGTGTTATTAACGTGCAGCCCTGCTGCTCCCACAACACATTAAAGATGGACAACAAACAAAAATCGAACTATAATAAAATTCACCCTTGCGGGAACTTCTTTTATAGAGGACAACAAAGTTTGTTTGCTTGATTTTTCTTTTTTCGTTGCTTTATCTTCCAGTCGATGAAAAAAAAAAAATGACTGACTCTCCATTTGACCACATTTTAACCACCAACCCTGACCGGCAGTTACAAAACCCAAGGTTGCTCTGTGGGCAGCTCTATGTGACTATTTGTATCAGCATGTTAAGTAGGGTGAATACAAATGAGCAAAAGCTTTCAACCAGTTGTTGAAAATGGAGAAAATGGAGGGAAATAAAACAATCACAGCATCGTTTAGGCAGAAACGATTAAATCAGGTTGCCTTTTGTGCATCAATTTGCCAGCACAGATCGCTTTGAACTGACTTCCTCGTAGTTCACATCTCAGGAGGACGAATTGTAACCATTAAATTAATTTCATATTGCAGATAGAGACCTTCATCGCTAAAAGATCTTAAGTGTTTCCTAACATTAAAACATTGCCACTTAAACACAAACAGGATCTTTAAGGACTTTGAGGCTATTCATAATTTTTAAACAAATTCAGTTGAAGACTCTGATGGAGAAATAAGGTCCTTGAAGAGGGAAGTATGAACCGCATACATCCCCACCTTTAAACAACTACACGTGTCAACATTTGAGATCTAATACTCTGTATTCAATGTTATCTTGCAAAATAAGCAACTCAGTCACACAGTGTCCATAGAAAATTGTAAACTGGGACACTAATAAGTCACACTAAGTATCAAAGACAGATCGACAATTGCCATGAAAAGGTGTGTATGTATGTCACAGATCAAACGCCTGCCAGCACCGTGTGTGCTTTGGGCAACCCCGGGACCATTAAGTAAGAGAGTTCACACGATAAGGGTTCCCTGCTGTGTAGAGAAAAAACCATGAGCAACCTAATTTATTAACCTTTTATGCCTGTGAGATAACCCTGACCGAGGAGCTGTGTATATAAATATGGGTCTGCTTCATGCCTGAAAAATAAAAGGCCTGAAAAGGCGCCTGAAACCTGAACTATTCTCTCTTGATTTACAAGTTTATGACACAAGCCATTGTGTTCAAGACTTCTTATGTCCTGTGTGATGTTTGTACAATATGTACAATATGATTCAGTTAAGTACAAAATGGAAAACGTTTGGACCAGGGTGGGTTCAATTTGAGACACTTCATGCCCTCGTCTGTGACAAACATAACAGCAAAGTCGAGGCTTGAAGCTGTTCAACAAGTCAAAGGGGACATCCATCCATCCATCCATTATCAATGCCGCTTATTCCCTGATGGGGTCGCGGGGGGAACTGGAGCCTATCCCAGTGGTCAACGGGCGAGAGGCAGGGTACACCCTGGACAGTCCGCCAGTCCATCGCAGGGCCACACAGAGACACACAAGGACATACAACCACTCACACTCACATTCACTCCTAAGGGCAATTTCCCCAATCTCCAATCAGCCTAACATGCAGGTTTTTTGGACTGTGGGAGGAAGCCGGAGAACCCGGAGAGAACCCACGCAGACACAGGGAGAACATGCAAACTCCACCCAGAAGGGCCCTGGTTCCCCCGGGATTCGAACCCAGAACCCTCTTGCTGGGAGGCGACAGTGCTAACCACCACACCACCGTGCCGCCCTCAAAGGGGACATTTCTCATGTTAACGGACTGGCCAGTGGGCATTTTCCCACTGTGTATGATATAATTTTTTTCAGTTTTAAACAAGATCACGGCATCTATAGTGTTAAACAGAAAGGCAACATTACTTAATGGAACTTTAAAAGCTGAAATTGCACTACTGGCTGACACTGAATTATAAATATGTTGCTTTTGTCTTAATGGATATCTTTATCTAAATTATTTAAGACTTCAAAGTTGGGAACAGAACCTTTTTTTTAATTGATAGCACAAAGCATATGAGTTCCTTAAACACTTGCAGGAACTATGGCCAGCTAGGAACTTTAGAAGATTTTCTTTTTAAAATAAAAACCTTTTTTAGATTAACTTTATTTTCTTAGTTCTTTTCTGCCCTCAAAGTGAACATTTTGCCCTCAGCCAAAGTTCTTAATAAATTTTAAATTGCCCGAATGCCCATGTGTGTTATCTAATTGTGTGACAGAAATGATAAGGATTATGTTTAGAGGAATGCTGAGCGAAAGAACAGGTGTCTTTGTCCTTCGTTCCACCCGGAGTCCGACCCAGCCCGAGCTGTCCTGACTCACACTGGATCAGCTATCACTCTCACACACACACACACACACTCACACACACACACCCACACACACACACTCACTGATCTGTTTCACCAGCTTTGTACACCCGATAGGAAAACTTCAGCTGGGAATCTTTGGAATCTGTACGTTTTAAGCTTTTGATGTGTGTGAAGCAGGAGAGGGGAGAAGCGGCAGTGGGAAGAGCCTGCAGAGCATGACATAACCCCCACCACCACACTTAACCTCTCTGACCTCCACTCTCCCTCTATTTGGTTCTTCCCTCCCCTCACCCCCCTCCCTCTCTTGGGAGACACCAGATAGCCATTACAGCATGAATGCGCAAGCCTCACATACACACATAGGCAGAGACTCTGCATCAATAATGTAGAAACTGGTGAGGAGGCCTGGCGATAGGGGTGCGCCTAATCTCTGCCCTGGGACACCACAGAGAGCACGAGTTTGTGAGGAAAGTGTGTGCGTACTGGGAGTTGGGACAAGTGAGGGGCAGGTGGTAGAAAGCGCTGCAAAGAAAGCAAAGAGGAGGAGGATGGAGGGACGGAGGGGGGTTGAAA